CTGATGAATGTGCACAGACACATCGTTATTCCCCAACGTTCATAATTTACATTACAGCTCACTCTTGGTGTTGTACATTCTACAGGTTTTGACAAATGTATAATGACATATATCCACCATTATAGTATCACACAGAATAATCCCTAAAAATCCTCTCTGCTCAGTCTATCCATCCCTCCTTCCCCATCCGTCTTCCCAAACCCCCCCAGCAACAAATCTTTTTACTGTCTGTATTATGAACAAAGCTGCCATAAACATCCATATGTAGGTTTTTTATGAACGTAAGTTTTCAATTCCTTTGGGTAAATACCAAGGAGCATGTACCATATGCTACATACGTATCATATGGTAAGTTTATTTAGTTTTGTAAGAAATAGTCAAACTGTCTTGCAACCTAGCTATACCATTTTGCATTTCTACCGTTAAAAATGAAAATTCCCGTTACTCCACATCCTTGCCAGTATTTGGTATTGTCAGTGTTTTGGGTTTTGCCAACCCATTTTTTAAACAAATAAAAAAATGTTTCACTTAACCAAAAATATTCTAATGCACAATATTCTAAGTAATAGAGAATTACATTGAGGTCATTATACTATGGGTTATCTTCAAGAAGTGACACCCTGACTCACTAGTTTGTGCCCTGCTGGGTATACATCTTTTTTTGGATCTTTTTCCTGAACATTTTCATCTGCTGCTTCTCCTTCATGATCACCAGCACCATGAGCTTCCAGACATCTGTCATGACGATAATTTCCAATAGGTACCCCTATGAGGTACCATAATGATCTCAGGACTCACTGAAAAAAGTGCCCCATTCATAATCTGTGGCAAGGGCAGCTTCAGTCGCAGGCCTCAGGGCTCTGACTCAGGGGTCTCCAAAGGACAGAAGTACTCAAACAGAGTTGTTGGAAAAGTCCTATTCAGAATTCAAACATGTCCACAGTCCTTGCATTACAGCTGCTTCTGAACACTTTTCAGAGGGGCATCCTTTCCTTTGACTTGATGTACTGAGCCTACAATTTCCCATCTATCTGAAAAAAAGTAAAAGTACCTGCTCTGACCTAAGTTTATATGCCAATACCTCCACTGAGTTTAAAATGAAGCCTTCTGTAACCTCGTAAGCTTGATTTAAAAATACCTGGCAGTATATGGGCTATGTTATATCACGGACTAATGTTACATCCGAAAACTTTATTATGACATCTTTCGGGACAGACAACATGTTTCCAAATCGTATTTCTGAGCAATTTAACGTTTTTAGAGTCAAGCAAAAATGTAAACTTCCCTGCCACTTGCTAGGGAGGCACTGTACCTGGTGCTGTCACTCAGAGATAGTCTGGGAGTCAGGAACCAGGCAAGGAGCTGGCCAAGATCCCAGCCCAGGATCATGACTCCCTAGTGAAGTGGGAGAAGGGACCCCATACCTGGGTCCTCTGTGAAGCTGCTGTAAGGGTGCAACATGTCAACTAAAGCACAAAACAGAACGAAGGACTCGGCAGGTGGCAGAATCCACATTCCACATTTCCTACAACAATCAAGTCATCTCCAGCTACTTAAAAAAAAAATGTATACTTCCATTGGAGCAGTATTTCAACCTTGACCACACGTTAGAACTACCTGGATAACTTCTGATTTAATTAGTTTGGAGTATAACTTGGGCATCCATAATTTTAAAAAAGAAATATATGATAGAAGCCAATGCATTTTCTTTAGAGATCCTTAATTTCCTTATAGAATCTGGCTTCTATCTGGGCACATTCCGACCTAAGGACTTTGATAGCACTGACTCAGTGTTTATAGTGCTGCCCGCAGTGTATTACCAGTCACTAACTTCATCAATAAAGTCAACAAGACCAATGGCAAGCACCAAATCCTCAATTACAAACTGCAAACTACCAAAGGCAAAATAAAGCCAGCCAAAGACATCCTCTGCTTCTTGGTACCATAACCACACACATTCCGACCTAAGGACTTTGATAGCACTGACTCAGTGTTTATAGTGCTGCCCGCAGTGTATTACCAGTCACTAACTTCATCAATAAAGTCAACAAGACCAATGGCAAGCACCAAATCCTCAATTACAAACTGCAAACTACCAAAGGCAAAATAAAGCCAGCCAAAGACATCCTCTGCTTCTTGGTACCATAACTTGCTTCCTCATGACCACACTCTGACCTGCATCACCATCTCCTACTTTATCATCACGATCTTTTTGACAGGCCTCCTCAAAATTGTCAGCATCAACAGCCTTACAGTGGCATCTGTGTACTTCCCTCCACAATGCCACCTGACCCCACCATCATTCTCAACACTTCCTCTGCTCTTCTCTACCCATCCTTCATGCCCTTCACATGTGCCTGGTTTCCTTAGATACAACCACTTCTTTGTCATCTACATCAGATATAATGAAGGAACTCCTAATACTGCAACCAATAGTTAAGATGTGGTATGGGACAGAAGCAGCAACAGCAAAGGTGAAGACAGCAACATGCAATGGCTGAGGCAATGTGCTGTGGCGGGGAGGCAGCTACCACTGGTGAATACAATGAGCAAGGTGGGGGAGACAGCTGTGGCCACAAGGATAACAGGCCTTGAAGTAACTGAGTGGGTGAGCAACTAGAGCTGAGAAGGGGGAAAAGCTGGTGCAAATATAAGACCCAGCCACAGAGGTGGCAGCAGCTGAAAAGGCACTCAAGATGGAGGAAATGAAAGGCTAAGCTGGTGACCCTCACAGGGTAACTTTTATAAGGACTAAATGGGTTACTATATATAAAGAATATATAAAGCACTTAGAAATAGTGCCTGGCACATAGTAATATTATGTGCTTGCAATTATTAGAGTTAGATGCACAAGTAACTAACTATGAAAGCAACGAGATAAATAGTGTAACAGGTGTGTATACTGCTTCTCCTTAAGGCAGGGACCATGTCACCTGCATCTCTGACTCCATGTATCTAGCTAGCTCAGCTCACTCAACAATGGCTGAATGTACATCACAACTTTGTTTCTATGATCTTTTCAGACTCAATATAATAAACAGTAATGAACCTTCAGTGAAAGAAAGCTAGGATCTTAGAAGATGCCATATTATAGCATCTGTTCATTCCACATCCTATTACTTTTCAGAAATATCAGAAGCAGCCAAGAGCTAATTAGGGTGTGCAGGGAAGTGGAAAGCCAAGAGCAACAAACCTAGTCTATGATGTAACATTAGCCCATACACTGCCAGGTATTTTTAAATCATGCTTTAAAATGAATGACTCATTTAAATATCTCTTTTATATGTGGGTCTGCTTTTAGAAATAAGTTCCTAAACCTTCAGCCTTCATCATAAACAAGACTTTTCATTGCTTAGAAGTACATAAAAAGCATACCCTATTTACCTCGCTGAGTGGCTAGGAGAATTTAACATGACAATATGTGTGAAAGTACACTGCACAGCATCTGGTACATTGTAGAAGCTCAGGAAATATGATTTGAATCTGCATCTGAAGCACGAGCTGGGATTCCTACACGCCTTGTTACAAGAATAGAGGGGACTGGTTTACTCCAATTTCAGCATCTGAACACATGCACAGATACCAAGCTGCTCTTCCAGCATCAATAGCTTTAGAGGTGGTGGTTTGCTTCTCTGTCCTACTGCTGAGGGTGTTACAGACATCAGTGGTTAATTCTCACAATAACCCTTCAAGGGAGGTTTCACTATTCCCATCAGATAAAAGAACAGGAGTTAAATACTTGCCCAAGTCAACTGGATCTGGACCATGACCCAAGGTCTACCTAATTCCCAAGTTCATGCTCTATTACACCATATTATCTAAGGGACCTAACAGAGGATCTCTTAAGGCGTTCTAAGATGAACAGCCTCAAAACAAGTGGGTACCAGTTTCCAGCTGGGATCTGCAACTTCAAACCGAAGCTCCCTAAACCTCTATTTCTTCATATATAATAAAAAGAAATAGAAGTTCTCTTCCTACTCTAAATTTGATGATTCTATCACGTTTCCCTTTCTTTACTCTCTATTTTTCCTATTCCTCCTTCCTTTCCTCCCTCCTGATAATAGCCCAAAATGTGTTGCATGCATCTATATTTTTAAAGAAAAAGGACCTAGAATTGCATGCAATTATAGCACTGATTTTCCAAAGAGAGATTAATCCTGGTATCTTATGTTTCAAGGGATCAACTTCTTCAGTCAGCTAAAAGGAAACGTGGTTCTCCTGGGTGGTCCACATAGAACAGCACTGGCTCACATGGCATAGAAATACAGAAATATACTTTTCAGAATTCAGGTTTGTGGCAACCCAAAAATACAACTAATCAGTTCTAGGGAGAAGGTATGGTTCCAGAAATTTTTCCCAAAAATTCAATTTATAAAACAAAATCATATATTACAAACGTTTCTCATTTCATAATTATATGATAAAAAGTAAAAGCTAACCTCTAAGGCAGTCAATAAAGGATTATATTAGAGATTAGAAAAACTAAATTAGGACTTCAATAGTAACCTATGACCACCAGCAGCACCACTATCACCATTACTACCCCTGGAATGGGAAATGCAAAAACTATAATTGTCTAACTTACTATCTAAAAAAAGTAGTAAATATATAGAAACAGTAACCAACTACCCAGGAATCCAAAGAATAAAATGGTTTTTAATTTTCAAATATACATCCTCCCACCCCAGTCATGATCATTTATTAATCCCTTACCTTCTCTTTTCTCCCAACTTGGGGTTGAGGTGGGAGAGGGCCTAAAATCCTTTCGAGATGTTCCATCTAATAATAGGCAAAATTATTACCTGTTTCCACACCTGGGTCTCCTGAGTATAGCACCTCGTTAGGTTCAATTATTCTCAAATTTTTCAGCTGAAAATCCCGGTGACTCGCCCTTAAGAGAAAGAAAGAAAGAAAAGGATATTGCAGACTTTGACCAGAGTCAATGTGGCAAGGCTTAGTCAGAGAGGAGAGGACATCTACTTGACTTTGCAATTTTCCTCTGTGCGTCGGAAGAACTCCTACCCTAGTATCAGTGATAAAATAAATAAAAGCCTCAGCTAAAACCTGCAGATAAAATAGCACCAAGGCAGGTAAATCTTCTCAGGCCTAACCTCTAGTTCATAAATTCTCTTCGGCTAAATCTAATCTCCTATTTAACTAGTATAAAAAGATTTTATTTGCAATGACTATATTTGTCACATGTACAAGTTCTATTTGTTTTTGGGGTTTTTTTTTTTTTAATTTCTTGTTCTTTCTTGTTCTTTCTTCATGGTGTCCTATTCTTTCACTATGGTTTCTAGTCCTTCTCTTAGTTTTAATTATTTGGGACCCTTATTTATAATTCGTTTCAGACTTTCCACTAGAAGGTCTAAGATAAAAATCCTCAAGTTTGCTGGGTCTGCTGGTTCCCTCTTGGTAGGTCATTCTTTTCATGCTTTGTAATCTTTTAGTAAGGGCTTATCTTCAGTAGAAACTATTTTATCTATGAGAATGAGACATGCCCTAAATTGTACAAACACTACAAACACTACAACTGTCACTGTCATCTGCTTCTGAAACTAATTTTCATTTTAAGTTTTTTGCTAGATATACACACAAGTCTCCTGTCCTCTTATGTGGATAGTCTAACACCCTAGACCCCTTGTATGAAGGTGTATAGCATCTGATAACCTCCCCAAGGCTCAGCTTACCAGTTAAGTTCCCCCAAATTCAGGCCTTAAGTTCCACTAAATTTCTGGCACCTGATGATTTCTCTTTCTTTTAATTCCACCGGTCAAGAAATATTTATTGAGAATCTTCTATAATCCAGGCCTATTATAAACACAACAATGACTAGAACAGGCAACATCTCTGACCTCAGGAGGTTTATGGGGGGTAGGGGTTGGTAGGAGGGGAGGGGAGGATAGGAAACACAACAGACACAAAACAAGAATACAGTATGTCAGATAGTGAGTATGTATTCTATATGAGAAAAAATAAATAAAGCAGGGCCAGGGGAAGAGATTGTCAGCGAGTAAAGGGGAAAGGATATTTGATATGGGGTTGCCTGGTAAGCCTCTTTGCTAACAGATGACATTTTAGCAGAGACTTAAAAAAAAAAGCAAGAGATCAAGGTATGTGGATGTCTAGGAGAACATTCCAGGAAAGGAGAACAGCAAATGCAAAGGCCCTAAGGCAAGAGTATGGCTGTTACACCAGAGGGAGAGCAAAGAGGGCAGTGTGGTATGGCTGTGTGTGTTGGGAGATAGAGAAGTAAATGGTTAGGAGACAAGATCAGAGAGGCAACAAAGACTGTCATAGGCGATACAACAGGTTGTAGATGTTATTTGGCTATAAACATAAAGGTAATTTTATTATAATTTTACATTTTTATGTTAGTAAAGGGAGAGGGCTCCACAGCAGCTCAGTCCCACACAGACAGAACCAGAAGACCAGAAATTTTTACCGTTCACTCTAGACCTGCTCTCAGATGGCTGGACTTTAATTTCATTGGACATAATGATGTTCTTTACTGAGGGAACCATATAGTCTTTCATTAAAAAGTAAGACACCTCAATATTTCTTATAAATATAAATGTAAATATCCTCAATGAAATACTGGAGAACTGAATCCACTAAGATATCAAAAGGATCAGACACCACCACCAAGTGGAATTTATTTCACATGTTTGGTTCGACATACAAAAATTAATGTAATATTTCAATGTTACATTATCAATAGAATAAATAAATTAAATAAAATAATGTAACAATATCAATAGAATAAAAAACAAAAACTACAATAACCTCAAAAGACAGAAAAAGCATTTGACAATATCCGACACCCCTTCATGATAAAAGTACTCGATAAACTAGAAGAGAAACTCTTCAAACTGATCAATAATATTACAAAACCCACAGCTAACAGCATCTTTAATGTTAAAAGGCTGAATGTTTTCCAAGATCAGGAAAAAGACAAAAATGTCCAATCTTGGCACTTCTAGTCAACGTTGCATTAGAAGTTCCATCCAGGGCAATTAGGCAAGAAATTAAAATAAAAGGCACCCATATTAGAAAAGAAATAAAACTATTTGTATTTGAAAATGGCATTATCTAGAATTTAGAAAATCCTAAAGAATCCACAAAAAAATCAGAGCAATAAGCTCATTGAAAATGGAGGATACAAAACCAATACACAAAAATCAACTGTATTTCTATATACTTGCAATGAACATTCGAAAAATGAAATTAAGAAAGGTTCATTTACAGTAAAATCAAAACAATAAATAGCTAGGAATAAATTTAGCAAAAGAGGTGCAAAACTTACACTCTGAAAACTACAAAACATTGTTAAAAGAAATTAAAGAAGACCTAAATAAATAAAAAGACATTCCACATTCACAGACCAGAAGAATATACTGTAAAAATGGCAATACTCCCCAAAATAATCCATAGTCAATGCAATACCAATCAATTCCAGCTAGCTTCTATGCAGAAATTGACAAGCGGATCCTAAAATTCATATGAAAATTCAAGAAATCCAGAATAGTCAAAACAATCTTGAAAAAGAACAAAGTTGGAAGTCATTCTTTCTGATTTCAAAACTAATAAAAAACTACAGTAATCAAGACAGGGTGGTACTGACATAAGGACATTTATAGATCAATGAAATAGAATTGAGAGTTAAGAAATAAACCCTCAGATTACTGTCAATTAACTTTTTGACAAAAATGCCAAATCCATTCAATGAAGAAAAATAGTCTCTTCAACAAAAAATGCTGGGAAAACTGGATATCCACACACACAAAAAATGAAGTTGAACCTCTACCCTCATACCACACACAAAAATTAACTCAAAATGGATCACAGACATGTTTTTTTAGAAGAAAACATAGGCATAAATCTGCCTGACCTTGGATTAGGCAATGATTTCTTAGAAACGACATCAAAAGCACAAGCAACAAAAGAAAAGAGATATACTAGACATAAATAAAAGACTTTGGTGCTTCAAAGGATACTATCAAGAAAGTGAAAAAGATACTCCATAAAATGAGAAAAAATATTTTCAACTGGTAAGAGTTTATTATCTGGTAAGAGTCCAGTATCCAGAGTATATAGAGAACTATTACAATTCAACAATAAAAAGGCAAATACCCAATTTTGAAATGGTCAAAGATTCTATATAGACCTTTCTCCTAAGAAAATATACAAACAGCCAATAGGTACATGAAAAGATTTTCAACACCATTATTCATTTGAGAAATGCAAACCAAAACCACAATGAGATACCACTAGGAAGATTATAATCAAAGGAAAAAAAAAAAGACAATAACAAGTATAGGCAAGGATGTGGAAAAAAGAGAACCCTCGGACTTCGCTGGTGGGAATATAAAATGGTGTAGTGGCTTTAGGAAACAGCCCAGAGTGCCTCAAAAAGTGAAATATAGAGTCACCCTATGACTCTTAGGTGTGGAAAATTAAAAACAAATCTACATAAAAACTTGTACACAAATGTTCATAACAACATTGTTCATAATATCCAAAACAGAGATCAAACAACTTGCTCAAGGCCTCACAGCTATTTGGTGACAGAGATAGTCTAGCACTAG